TGCCGTGGAATACTGTATTTGATGTCACGAAGGACTGCTGTGAACTTGCTAAAGGCATCAGTTGGAGAGAAATACTTTTGGGTGAGAACAGTACTCACAATGTGCAAACAAATTGGGATATTCATCTCGAAAAGATATCATTCCGTACTCACTGTATTTTTGCGAAAAGTTTCATGGCTAAATCCTGAATTTTTCTGATTAGTATTTGAAGTACTTGAGGTGGATCCTTAGAAAATATATTGACATCAAAACATGTATATCATATCGGAATTCATTAAATATCAAAAAATATACAATAAACCAAAAACATATATACCAGAAAATATACCATACCGGAAATCATTCAGTTTATGATGTTGCACATACAAATTCAAAGTCGTGTTGAAGGAATTATTTTGTTAAACCGCTGCAGATCGATGACTACTTTATCACAGGACATTTGAGTCACAAAATTGGTGTTGTATTCGATAACATAGTGTTGTTCGATACTGGCAAAGAGCCGATGATGGAAGGAAGGAGTTGGTTCTGGGTTAGTGATTCGGAGGATATGACCAAAGCGATGAAATTGTGGAAAAATTTGGAAGAAGCACATAGAAACGCGTCGAATTCAATCGTCCTCTCGTTATGAAGATGAATCAGCTTATTACAGTATATCGATATATCCTCAAGGAATAAGATAAAATGTCTTTGTTTTTCATATTACACAACAAGCCGCCAGCTATGGTTATAAAAACTCTCAACGTCAGGCTTTCGCACTTTTCAGATCATCCCCACATTTCAATAGTTTATACCATCATCAGAAAAAGAACGATATATATAATCATAGTGCACGTCTAGTGATGTTTTTAACTTGGCTGAGATGTTCTATTCCAAGGAATAGATTGAAACAGTTACGAAAAAGAACGCGGAGAATAGAACGGAACAGAACAATTGAAGAGCGAAATTGAACAGAATAGAACACTTTGCCGAATGTGTGGAATAGAAATATCACTGTGCATTGACCAAAGAGGATTCTGTTAAAATAAAGGAATTGAATATCTGAACTTGCATGAACAAAATTTGCAGTAAAATTTACAATACTATATTTATCAGATTCGATTATGTGCTTGCTGTTGTTCTATCGGTACTTGTTCGTTTTGATCGCTCAAAAATATGGTAACGAACACGTTAAAATCCATGGTTAATCTCTTCGCTGATCTTGTTTTTCTTGCAAATAAACATTCAACAATTTCGAATGATCTTAAACCGAATGATCAATCATAACAAACGACTTGATACTACCTACTTGATGCTCGATCAACTCAATGTACTATCTGAATCTGAATGGCAATTCACGCACTTAACCGAATTGCTGAGGAAGCATGTAATCAATTATGCAATCATTTGGAATATCAATTCTAAGATATAGATATTTCATATTGCTGTAGATGTCAATTTTCTTATTGATGAAACTTCATGCGCCGTTACAAGTTATGAGGGGATATTGTGCGAATGAAATTGAGAATTGCCAGATGCATTCCAGTTTATCGGGATGAGTTTCAATTATTTCTTAAAGCCTTTTGAATGGATTCCTAAATTTCTGTATTTTCGTCTTCATTATTGCAGGACAAATTGCCCTATCAAACAAAATTTCGGTTATTTTCAGTCAATTCATATTTCCAGCCAAAAACTGAGCAAACAACAGATTATCTGTCATCAGCTAAAAAAATTTAAAGATATCAAATGGGCAAATCGGATTTTAAAACCAACAAATACAGACAGTTTGCACTCTCCTATTATAAATATTATGCTTAAAACCGCTATTCGTATTTTATCTTCTCTTTAACCTCGCTGTTGATGTGTTTTTCTCAACCTTCGTTTATTCAGTTATTATCAACGGGAATTTGTGCCTTTGTGATACCATAATTTTGATAGATAGACTGTTTTCAATTCAGTAACAGTGCATCGTCTCCAACAGAATTGCTCATTTCATCAAATTTCGAATTCGAATAAAGGATGTGAGAATTCTTAACCATGACCAAAATCTCTCCTGAACTAACTTCAGCTACTAGCTGGAGTTCAGCCATTCTGCTCATATTGCTAAAATTTCAAATCAGCATTTCAAATCAAATCACGACGAAATAACAATGCCAAAACTATC